GCAGAAGAGACCTATCAGGAAATTATTGACAGGTTTATATGCCACTCTCTAGCATGCTGTTTCTACTTTTTTCCTACTGTTTTCTACTTTTTTGGAATTATCTTCATTACTCCAAATAAACCAATAATGCAATAAAGAAATGAGCTTTTTATAGATTTTTTTTTTAAAAAATGTTCTGTTCTCACTTTACACAGACACAACATTTATCAAAACTTTGACTAAACTGAAAAACTAGATTTGCTAACCTTTGATTAGGTATTGTATTATGAGGGCTGAACTGAACACTGTTATAGTAAAAAAAATGCAAGTTCCATATTGGTTCTCCTAGCGGAGGACCTTTTTAGCATGAAATTAAAGAGGACAAATATCCCATACAAGGTATTTCTCATTTCATATTTTTCTTCTGTCAATAAAGGAATTTCCCATTTTCACCACTCATTTGCTTACCTGTAAAATCTACTCACTAGGACCTCACTGGTGAATCCCATTCCTCCCCAAAATTGAAGACAACTATCAGTCACCTCACGGGCCAGACGACCTGCCTTTAGCTTAGCCATGGAAGCGAATTTAGTCACATCATTGCCTTCTACATAGAGAGCTGAAAAAAAAAAAAAACCCACCACACAGTTGTACACATGGTTTCTAATCACCACCCATCTCACTGCCAACTGTCTCCCCATATTCCTTTCTAAAGGACCTGAGAACGTTCTTTACATTAAGAAAAACATGTCTGAGAAGACAGACATGGAAGCTCACCAAGAGTCCGGTACAGCAGAGAGCGAAGGAGTTCCACCTCGGTTGCTAGCTCTGCCAGGCGGAAGTGCACTGCTTGGTTATGCAGTATTGACTGGCCAAAAGCTTTTCGCTGGCGAGTGTACTCGATAGTTTCTTGTATTATATTTTCCAGTGGTGTCAGGACTTCAAGAATCAAAGCACAGAACAACACATTGTTTTACTTCAACAAGAAGACAAACGACGTGTTTTATCCCCACACATTGTACAAACAATACATTAGGTTTTCTCAAGTAAATTATTCCATATGCTCAGATTGGGATGCCTAGTTTAAGTTCTTACATAATGTCTGTCATTCCCACGTACCTTGAAGACAGATTCTTTACTCCTGACAGATTTATTTTACACCCCAAATTGACAAAATTAAAAGGAGAGTGAAGGCGGGTAGGGAGCAGGGAGGAAAAGTAATAGAGAGAAGTACTCCTAATGACAAGTACAGATACTTTATAATTGGGGGGGGTCTTTATCATTTGGGGCTCTGTCAAAAGCGTGTGACAATTCTTGCTTTCCATGCTACGTGTGTTTTAAGATCTATTACAATCCCCAAAGAAGTCTGAAGGCACAGAGTTTGCTCACTGAGGAATGCAGTAGAAATATATATTCAAAGAAGCATTCATACGGTAGAAACCTATTCAGGGATCAAGGAACATGAATAGGCTGTTCACTAGGCTTGCATTCTGTGATCCAAAATCCCAATAAAGAAAGGAGGGGAAAAATATTAAGCTTCACAGCCATGTTTAGTAAGTTCTAAATTGTGCTTCTCTTGGAAGCAGAACCAAAGCAGGCGACTGCTAGAAGACATATGAGCGAGAGAAGAGAAACTTTGCTTTAAAGTAAGATGACTAGTTCACTGCAATTGTTTGGAGCAACCTTAGAGGGACTCTGTTTTAAACGTAAAGAAAAAGGTTATCAGTCTCTTGCAAATTAGCTAAGGTAACATCAGGTACTGAATCATTGCAGAACTTTGTTTGACAGATGTGGAATCATGGCCGTTCTGGCAAGCAGTAGGGAGAGTGGAGAGAATTCACAAATCTATCTGTATGAGAAGGGTCACATTGTCTCTTCTGAAAACACATATATCCTTATATACCACATTTGCAATCTGAAAATGCAAAAACTGGAATTCAAAATACAACCAAGCCTTGGCTACTACAAAATTTCTTTTCCCACCTCTCTGGCTCTTCCAGCTTATCCACATGACAGTGCCTTAAAGGATCCCTCTGTGCTTCCAGATTCTCTTTTGCATCATTTTCAACAACACCTCTGCTTACATCTCTGCGCTCATATGCAAACTTTGTATCCCACCAGTTCCTCCCCCCCCCCACGACCATTTGTAAACTCTTCCACAGAGCACCGTTTTTCCCCACACTCCAGAACGTGATCAACTTTCCTTGTTCCTTAAATATTCCCCTCCTTTTTCAAACAACTACCCTCAACGCAAGAGAGAATATACAATAACGTCCTAGTTTCATCTACATTAACACACTATTCTGTGCTGCCACCCTATTGCTGGTTCTCTGGACAAGAAAAAACAACTGCTTTTTTGAGGGACAGCTCTTGTTCAGAGGAAACAATTCTGTTCTTTTGGAGGACTGTGTTACACAGCGCTGCAACGTGTAAGACACTAACAGGTTTCTCCTTATACTTCTATGGTCTCTAGCTTGAGAGATGTTCTAGAAAGTGGTGTCTAAGAATCTCTTGTCCCTTGCCCTCAACCTGATACCTAGGAAGCATACAGCAGAGTCTGAGCTGCTGGGAGGGAAACTAAACAGTACGTGCCAGTGCTAGGAAAGTAGAAGTGAGGTGGGAGGGATAAGGATGAGGAACCCCTCGCTGTGTGTTGGTCTATCAGCAAGGTAATGCAGCTTGGCTCACGTGGTTCCCAGCAGCCAGCACCTGGGAGAAAAGAAATGAGGAATGGCCAAGAAGGGGCAGGAGCAGGACTGACTGGAAAGTAATGAAACAGCACTTATTTAGGTCCTGATTGCAAACAGGCTGAAGGTCACGAAGCAGTTTTGGCCCAACTCTGCTCAGGCTGCCAGCACACATCAGGGCTGGGAGCAGGAGCCTGAGAGCTGCTCTCGCAGTGTCTGCATGTGCTTCACTGCCTCCTTCCTGCCCCTATGTCTCAGCTAATCCATCCTCCTCGTTTCTCCAGCATTCCTTCAGCTGTCATCACTGTCCTTATGCTTGTTCCTGGAAGCTGCCATTTGCATATAGAAATAAACAGGAAATCTTCAAAGGACAGGTATTTAGAGCTATGAACATATCTCTAATATGGCAAAGCTTAGCTGTGCAGCAAACAGCGGTGACATGCAGCTTGCCATGAATACCGTAAGTGACAATAGCCTTGTACAACATAATAGCATACAATACTTTGTTAATCATATAAGTAGAGACAGAGAAATGCCATTCTTTTCTTAAGAGTGCAACTCATTTTCTCTCTGAACTTGTATCTTTTTTACTGTACTCATATATTTGTTTCCTCTTTTGTCATATAATCTTCTCCACATCCTCAGGTAATATTGGATCCATGGGTTTTGACTGGCAGCACATGCAGGAACTGTCATTCTGCAGTGGCCTAAGGACCATACAGTCCTCTAAACATCAGAGATCTTGAAGATCTTCAAATTCAAAGATCCTGAAGTTGCCAAATGTGGAATAATCTTTTCCTTATACTTCCATCCAACTTACATTTTCCCATTTGAACTTTCTGCTCGCTGTAAATATAGTTTGCCTTGCTATGTCTCCTCTTAAAACAAAGGGAAGTTAAAACATTTTTCTCTCATTGTTGCTGTTCGCTGTCTAGTGAGATGCACAATGAACTACTGTCCCCACACTGAACAATCTGTCTCTTAAGGATGTGGGCTCTACATGCAAAATGATCTGTCATCCTGCTTACTGGCCATGACTCAATGCTACTCAGAGAACTGAGACTACAAAAGCAGACAGAAGTCATTAGAAAAGTGCCATTCTACTCTCTCATATGCATTAAACTCCCTCTTTGCCCCCAAGTTAAGCAATTCACAAAAAACTGTTTGCTTTCTCACCATAGCAACATCCTTTTCCTGTGATCAGTGCAACTGGTCCTCAAGTTAACTGCATTTACTGAGTGTCACAACATGGGAGAGAGATGTGGCAGTTGTTTTCTCTCAATGAAGCAAGAAACACAGCAGTTTTTACCAGTGCTTTTGATACATGTCACTCAGTAAAAAAGACGATATCTGTGACCAAATTTTGATTTGACAAAATAAGATTCTTGGAAAAATATAAGCTTAAATAAAAACCCTTCCAGGAAATATGTTTCCATTTGTGTTTTAAATGTGGTTCACTGAAAATTGTTTTAAAAAGAAGGTAAAGAACGAAGGGAACTCCCTACACACATTCTAAGAGTTGGCCACAAAGAAGAAAATTAATAAACAAAGGGGATGTGATACTTGATACAAAAAATTCTTCTTAAAACAAAAAAAGAAAGAAAGAAAAGAACTGCAGTCAGTTTCTTCTGTCAAATTTTGGGAAGCAGTCAAAGCAAGTATGCCAGGATTTGTCCTTGAAGTGTTTAAAAGCAAATTGCTGATTTTCGGCATTAAATGAGCAGTCATGATCGGGGAAAGAATACAAATGTCCTTCTGAGGGCCAGAAATGAGGACAAGGAATAAATACACACGCAGACCTAATCCTGAAACTGCTTAAGGCATGTACTTAGTTTTAAATATCTGAGTCTTCAGCAAAACACTTATGGTTAAGCATATGTAAAACTGCTGGTCGGATTGAAGTGTAACAGTGCCTGTAATGTTGTAGTGTAATATATCATGTCCATCAAGCATCTGGTTCCCTTCTGAACATCAGTTACTTTCTTTTTTCTTGTTTGCCACAATAGGTTTCTTATAAGATTTGCAACTTGACCTAAAATCTGGGCCTTGTCCCTGCTCCCCATGATCTTCATGCATTTTATATCAGATAGTCAATGGATAAAAAATGAAAATAACACGGGGACAAAGCAAGGCCAGGTTCCTTGCCGCTGAATACACTGACCCCTAAGCTGCAGGATCAGGCTTCCCCTCCCTTTGCTAGCTCCACGGCTCTTCCATTCCAGCTGTGCTCGCTGGGCTTCCTCAGGAGGGGTGAAGGATGTCCTCCCCAGATTGCTCATCTAGATGAGAGGTTAGCCTGCTCTTACAGTGTTGTTCTGACTGAAAAGGAGAATTGAAACATGGTGTCCCACTTCCTGAAAGAGCTCTTTAACTGCCAGGGTGTTATGCAAAGTTGGACAGTACCAAGCTACCGGTGGTTTTTAATACAAGTGATCTAACCTGCTGTGCTTTGTGTTTCGATGCAGTCAGTGTGCGTCAGACTTGCCAGGAGCATGACTAATGCAGCAGGTTTCTCCACCGCCTGGTAGTGAGATGCTTAGGGAATGTCACTGGAACCTGGGATGTCTGATCATTTTGTTTGGTTGAGATCCCAAATTGAGCATAAAAATACATAGCCAGGTCCTTACTGTCTACATAAGCCCTGATCATGTTTTAGAGGGCAATTATTATTAGAGTCCCCTATTGCTTTGATATGGCAGGAAGGCAGTTACAATTTGAAAAACTCTTCCAGTGAGAAAGTGCTTGACGTGATCAGTCATATGTACAAGAAGAGCTGAAATGCAGCTACTTGCTCTGGAAGGTGATTAGCACAAGACACAAAAGAATAATGTAAATTAACACAAATCCTGACAGCGAGGCAAAACTTTCTCTTCCTTTCGTAAGCTCTCCTAAGGTGGCATGGTAACTACTGTTTAATAGCATAGTCATTAATTAGTGAAAAAGAAAGCCTTGTTTTTCATTTTGATGATGCTTATAGAAAAATAACTTGATAAAATATATCTACAGAAAACCAGCCTTCTGCCAAACTGCTTGACTTTATCTGATTTTATGATTCTTTTATGTTTTACAAGCTTGGGACAAATCTATGCTTATGATAAGCGAAGAATTCTGAAGTCAGATAGTTGAAGGACTTATGATGATAGATACTTGAGGTACAATTAGTTGCCCTCTGGAGCGTAAAGGCAGTTCTAGATCAGTGTCAATGCTGTACTATCTATCTATCCTCTAGGGAGGAAAACCATTTTAATTGTACCCTATTTACCAGGTTTGCTACATTTCTGCCTAGGATTTCCTAAGCAGGAATACTCTTTTCCTAGACATTTCAAAACTCACCTGGACAAGGGCTTGAGCAACCTAATCTAATTTTGAAGTCAGCCCTGCTTTTACCGAGAGGTAGGATTAGATGACCTCCAGAGGTCCTTTCAAACTGAGACTACTATCTGAACGTGCACCACACAGATGAGCTCTGCTCGCAGAGTAAGCCACGCATGCAAGGATCTTGGCTTGAAGAGCTACTCCCTTGTGCAAGCAGCTCTTCAGCACAGGCGCCCTGCCTGTAGCATAGGTGCTGCTCTGCTCAGCTGGGCCAGTCCAGTCGGTGCGATGCTGTTGGAAGCACCGGGGTCACTACACGTGCTCCGGAAAGCTGATCTGTGCAGGAGCTGTTTGCAGGCAGTTTCTAGAGATCCAGAATCAGTCCAAGCTAAATGTGACAAATCTGAGAAATGCTGCAACAAAAGGCTCCCTGTGTGAAAGAAAACGCCTGAATGTAGTTGGACAGCTGAATGTTTTGGGGTACTCATCTAGAAGAGATCTACTCCTCCTAGCCCTTGCTCCAGGGAACATTTGCCTTTTAAAACAAAACAGAACAGGAGAGGCTGACTGCTCTCAGAGCATCCTAGAGCCTGTGGTTAGAGCAGTTCCCCTGATACAGCAGTCCCCGTTCATGCTTTTAATATTAGGCAGGCAGAGTGAGTTCATATCAAACTGCTTTGAACAGAGTTTCACCCCCAACCTGTTAAGTGTCCTAAACTGTGCAAAAGCAGGATCAGCAGTAATGCCATATCATCCCATAGTCTGGAATGGCATCCCTTAACAAGTCTAATCTCTTGCTCTTTGCTGAAATTGCCCCATATTTGCTATTTAGGTCAAGCTGAACTAAGAGTTTTGGCCCAAAACAAAGACATTTTTTAAACATCTGAACTCCAAAATATTTGGTCTGGGATCCAGTCGTAACAGATACTATTTTCTTTTGTTTGGTCACTGGATCAGAAAATCAGTTCTTACAGTTCCTAATTCTCAAACAACACAGACGGTAACAGACCATGTACGCACAAAAGAGTACAGCTATGATGAGATTATTGGTACAATTCCAAAATGTAAAGATGACCAATCTTCTTATATTGAACCACATTATACTTCAATTAAAGCAGCAAATATCATGAGAAAAAAAATGTTGGAAGGCTGAAAATAGACAATCCAGATTTGGATCTAGTAATGTGGAATATACAGAATCTGGATATCTTAAATATCCAGATTTGAGCATGGTCTGAGTTCAGAAGAACAGGAATTCTGTGACAGTATAACTTCAGGGAAAGGAATTTGATGGAGTACTGCATACATCTATAATGTGTATAGAGGTAAAACAGCAGATCTGGAAAAACAAAGCTGTCTGTTCAGAGACATTTAAATTCTTTTTTTTTTTAAATGCAGAATAAAGGTAAACATCATAACTGAATGTACTACAGGAAAAGTCCTCTTCCATCTATTTCACGCCAGTATTTTGATAAACTTTGTACTGTATTTGTAGCCCACATAACACGGTGCTGCAGAAGGCACCAAGAGAAAGAAACAAAGCCAAACCAGCCCTTATGATGCCTCACAGATTATTTTCTTTCTATTTCAGGTTTTCCTACAGAAAGGGAAGGTTCTCCATTTCCAGGCTCTGACAGATTGTAATAACAAATCCAAAGAAATAAGTGTAACTTACAATAAAAAGAAAGTGCTATTAGTCATTCTGTAACAGTGACTCCTGTGTCCCTGCCGGGCCCCAGAAGCACAAACGATGACTTACCAGAGGCTACTCCCCACAGCCGCTCTTCTTGGAATTGCAACATCTGATATGTAAAACCCATTCCTTCCTCACCAATGAGGTTTTTGCTGGGGACTCTTACATCTTCAAAAAAGATCTGAGCTGTGTCTGATGACCTCATGCCCAGCTTGTCTATCTTTTTAGCAATGTGAATGCCTGAAGAAAAAGAGATATTAGAAAGGCCACAAAAAATAGGATGTACAAAAAAAGTGAAGCTTTTAGATGTGAAGGTGTATGCCAAAACTACAGTGAAAATACACCTTTAGGAAAACATGAAAGTGTTTTGGGCTTTAAGACTAAAAATAGCCTACGTTCTATTTTTATGAATTTTTCCTTTTTATTTAAGTAGCAAATCAGAATATGCAGTTGTAAGGGTTTTACTTTTCAAAGTGTTCCCAAATAAAAATTATTTGCTACCAGAAAGAATCTTACTTCACAGATCTCTTGAAATCATGCATTATTTATTTGCTTACATTTGATTTTTAGTGCACTATAATAAAATGCTAGACTTCACCTTAAGACTACTTGTTGAGTGCCTGCACTGCAGTGAAGCAGTAAAGAAATATTTAACAATGACAGACATCAGAGTTATGTTTTAAACTGCAACTAGAGGATTTCCACTCCTGGACATCCTCTTCCTTCTCTCTCTTCCACATTTACCCTCCTGCTTTTAGCCTATCCTGATCTTCTCTGGTACCTGCAGAAAAGACAGTTACAATAACTCACACCTTTCTTTCTTAACAATAAAAAGGTTAGACTGAAATTTATAAATACAAACATTCAACAGTTCCAAATCAATTGCAAATGTTGTTAAAAATATGTATTTTTATGATGACCTACAATATACTATTTAGTCCATTTAAATAGTCACAGAATGGATTATAATGATCAAGATTCACTTCTTTTGATTTTTCATGTGGACATCCTTGCCAGAGAGGGTTTGCTTTCCCACAGACCTACCTATACAGCACAAATTGTCACCCAGTGTGCAATGGTCTGTTGGAGATGAACCTGAGTCCTGCAGAGAAAACCTGTTGGGATCTCCACTGAGATCTCAAAATTGCTTCTGCTTCAGCCACCTAAGATTTAAGCTACACAGTCACACCAAGTAGATGGGACTTTGTGGGTTTTTTTTTCCCTGTCACAAGTTGTGCTTGTTCATAAACAAGCGTTGCTAATCACTGTGCCATGACAGTTAAGCAGATATCCACTGATTTTTTGTAATAATTTCCTTGAAATCTTCATCGATCTTCACCTCCTTATTGCTCTGGGATTAACACATGAAAATTCTAGGCAGAGGTTAAGAATGCTTTAGAGGAATACTAAGGCCAACACCAGATATGAGGATTTGTGCAAAACATGCTATTAGATCTGCCAAGTCAATATTGACAGGAGGCCGTCAGCCTTGTGAAAATTATTTTGGTTTTGCAGGCAGGTGCAGCTGGCAGTCGTTTCCTTCAAATTCATCCTCAATGGCAGCACTGCACAAGGTATTTCATCTCTTAGCAAATGAGAGATGAAATACTGCCCCTCTTTCCAAATGCCAAGACTGCTCTCAGGGCAAGGTTCATATTGACTTCTACACCTTCCACTCGGTATTTTAATTCATCAGCGGTGACTACTTAAGCCAATATACAAACAGATTATGTTGTGAATACTTCCTCCAGTGCATGTTCAATACAGAAAGAAAATCAGGCCAGCCATATAAAAATCTTTGACTCTTGGGTTGAAAATTATCCAGCAATTTGCATCCATTCAAGCCAAAAAAGTATTTGTGGTTTGTTTCTGTATTAAAATCAGAGCTAAACAAATATGCACTGAACCATTTTTGGGCCCAGACGATTTTTGGAACATCTTTTCCTGGTGGAATATTACTGCTTGTTTTCTTTGAGAGTCTCAGAGATCATGTCATTGGTCTACTTCCAACTGTTTTTATGTAACCACTGCTCCTAAACCATATGAAGATATACTTACTGCTCTTTTCACTGGGCACTTTACTGAGGACTCTGCTGAAACAAGTGAAACTGTCAGCAGATCTTCATTTTGCTAAATCAATCCTATTGTGTATCTCCCCAGACCCACACATGGCAACTGTGAAAGACAACTCTTAACAGTTTGTTAGAGGAGCTCAATGTGTTAATGATTTCTCATATGCATACTTTTTTACTGATGGGGTAATATGTTCAAACTTCCTAAATGTGGTAACATTCCTCATTTGTTGTGCCTTAGCAGTTTCACTTGCTCCTAGATTAATTGACATTTCTCATTCAGAATGAGGCCAAACTGTGTCAGCCTCACACAGTGCCCCCTCGGTTGCCACTGTACACTCTACTTGTTTTCTTTTTTGAACACACTGAAACCTCTGGCTCTCTGGCTACGACAGGGGCGTCAAAATCTTCCTTTACTTAATCTGATTATTTTAATTCTCCTCATAAGGGGTACTATACACTAAAAACTACCAGCAGGAGTAGAAATTTGCCTGGATAAATCTTGGTGTTTTTCTGTATTAAAGCACAAGCCACCCAGTAACACACAAATCTCAATCTAGTAAGGTCAGGTGCCTGACCTTCTACTATCACTAACAGAGCCCTTTGTGCTACTTGTTCTAGTATCACTAAGATGCATTCCTATATCTCTTCCTGGGCATTTTTCCCAGCTGTCCTTGTTTTTTTTCATTTTCTCCCACTCCTTCAGTCTTCTGAGTTCCTTTATTCCATTTTGAGAGAAAGGCAGTTGATTTCTCCTGTCACCATTTAGTACCGTTATAAATGGAAAGAGACACATTTTAAATTGCATCCTAAGAAACGTGCTCTTTCACTTTTCCTGGACATTCCTCTGTTATCTCCTCCTTGCAATCTATCCTTGTGCTATCTGAGGACTCGGAGGACAAACTTAGTGTCCTCTAGCCCATATTAGGGCTGTGAGCCTTTTGTCTATGTATTTATACATAGACATTTTATAACCCCCTAGATTCTCTTTCATCCATAAGAAGTGCCGCATTTTTTAAACATCTTTAATATATGGGGTATTCATCTGACTAATATGATTATATATTGTACATCAACACCACAGTGATCCAAATTCGTTTACACATTCAGTAGTGTCTGTCAAAACAAGACTATCATTAACTTCACCCCAAAGTAGACACTGTACGAACACAAAACTAGAAGAAGGAAACGCCACTTCAGATCTCCAATAAACTGCTGGTTGTTGAAGTTAATACTTTCAGACTTGGAAATTTTTTTCTTTATATTACATTACGCATGTATGAAACAATTAAGTTTTTCATGAAAAATAGTGAACTAGTCTCCTACATCCTTCCAGCTGCTAGCAACAAATGCTTTGCAGCTGTGCTGAGGATTCCTTCCTTCCCGATATATAGATGAGTGACTGCAGCAGTTAGTCAGACTTTACACGCTTGTTCTCCATTGTGTTCGCTCTTGAGCTTTGACATACATACGTCTATAGACACTTAATCGTGCCTCATTCTGTGATGTTGTCTAGACGCTTCCTGTACAGCCTTGGTCTGCTGCCCGCTGAAGAGAATAATCTTTGGCAAACAGATATGCTTAGGATGCATCAAAACAGCTGGAGCTTTCTCCTCACATCTGTGTCAAACAGCAGCCTTTTTCAAACTTTTCCTCCCCTCCTCCAAAGTCTAACTTCTGATATGATCCTACGTGGTGAGCAAAACCAACCATCTTAATACTTCATTTCAGAAGTTCACCAGTCTTTGTACAGTGACCTTTTTGAAGATTCACATATTCATCACACAGAAGAATGAAAACATACACACTTTGAGAAGTGCAATTTATGTTTCTAAGAAGACTTCCACATATCTGTATATCACCTCAGCTAGCTTAGGCAATTTTGCTCCTCACAATCTATTTACCACAATTTCCTTACACAATGACTTAGAAATTAGAAAACTCACTGGAAGACCCCTAAATTAAGATAGAGTTAGGGGCATCCAGTTTTGATTTGTGTTCTTCAAGAACACTGAAAACCAAAGAGTTAAAACTGTTCAAAATTAAATTTTGATAGCCAGTAAATACACTATAACAACCCCTGTCAAAACAACCTTACCTCTACTGCTTTAAGTGATGCCCTTTATGTACACAATACCTTACTGCTGAAAGCTCTGTAGACAACTTAGGAACAGACTGTATGACGTCTGTAGCACCAAAACTTGCACCTCTTAGACTAGGCTGTATTTCCTCAGTTTCTTCACTCAAAATTCTAGTTCCTACTTCAAAAACAAGCACTTACTTCCAAATTTGTAGAAGCTTTCACTCTGGCCTGCATTTAACTTGCACATTATTTTGTTATTTAAACTGACAATGATGATAACCCCCTGGCAAAGAGATCCCTCCGTAAAGCAATGCCCTGAGACTTCAGTCTTTATTGCTGAAACAGGTATCCTGGAATTACCTGCACTTCTTTTCAGCAAGCCCGCCAGGTTGGATGGAGGAGCATGGTTACCTGAGGAAGATCAGGGCCCTAAACTCAGTGCAATCACAGCATGGCTTGGCAGTCTTCTACTGTTCAAAACAGCCAGTCAGTAGTCCCAGTCCAAGCAAGTGAGATACTTCCCATGGGCTGTTGGGAGGCACGTGCAGTGATGTGGGATTAAGATTGTGTCGGGAGGAACTTCCCATGTATTTCTGAAGTTTTAAATCTCTAAACTCCTTATCCTCTCATTTTCACAGGTTTGAAAATCACTTTTGAACATTTTGTGAGGATAGCAAGCTTAAACATCTTGATTTATTGGAAAAAAATATAGATATATATTCTGTTCACCAATCCTCATTCAAAAAAGGAAAAAAATTAACACTATTTTGGAAAGATAAATTGAGAATATTTTACAGTTTATATGTAGCAAAGCTCTCCACATAGATAGGGTAATATATTATTTATTTTGATTACTGTTTGCAATTTATTATCTTTTGGGGACAGAGAACAAACATAGACAGTTTTTGGAACTTCTTCAAAACTAAAAGATGCTGGATAGTATAATTTCCAAAATGTTTTTGGCTCTCTTCGTAATGATTTCTTTAAGGCATTAATTTTGTCCTTGGCGGTGGCTTAACTTGTCCATTCATTTCCACAGAAGGTTATGAAATACTCCCATGCAAACGTATCTGAACAACTTCTCTAAAGTTCTGTTGGCAAAAAGAATTCTCCATATAAAACGATTTAGGAGCCAGAAACTGAAGTCTGCAAAATATTTAATTTCCTCCTACTTTCCTCTTGTTCCCCACCTTCTTGTGGAAATGTGGGTGTAATTGCATTTTGGAACTGACTTTGTATGACAGCGTAACACTTAGAAGCTCTGCTGAATTAAGAGTGCAGTCCTTTCTCTCAAACACATTCTGGTATTGTGCACACACAAAAACACAATAAAATCAAATTAGAAAGAAAAGAGTTTGGTGTTATTACCAGGCAGATTCATTGGCAGACATATGAGAGATTTATTTTGATGTGGAGGTCCTTTACTGGTATTTGCGAGCAGGCACATCCAGTCCGCTTGGCACCCCGATGTAATCCACATCTTACCACCATTTATGACATATTCATCGCCTTTTCTCATGGCTGTTGTCTTGATATCTATTTCAAAATATAGGAAATCAGGGGTTATTTTTGTGAAAGAGGGATAAACAGACCCCAGTATAACTGATAGAGTCAATCCCTTGCTCTCAGAGAAACAACTAATATTCACCCCTCACTTTAAGCACTCCAAGTCCTCTAAGCCTTCCAGGCTGCAAGAGGCAGACCTTTCTTACACCTCACTTTGAACAAGCCAAGGAAATAACATAATTTCTCTCACCCTCCTTTAGGTGGAGTCTTCATCCTACCGGATGAAATTAAAAAGCCTTCCACAAGTAAATTTGACCCTTAAAAGTCAGAAGCTAGAAGTATTTCAGTCTGAGGCGATCTATTACGTGTTTCTGTTACTGTGTACATTAGTCACTGAGGAGGCCATTAATTTCAGAGTCCTGACTTAAACAAACATCAGCCTCAATATGTGTGTATGCATAAGGATACACATACACGCACTTCCTACATGTTCCAGGTCAGGATGGCGTAATAATTCAAAGCTAATAAACTTTAATAGGGCCCAAGTGTAAATGTTAAGAACGTCTAAACATGAAAGAGTTCTAAACACCTCCTGCTTGTACCATACCATAGAAAACAATGTTTCATTCGTTAGTGTTCACATCATCCTTCAAGTAGCCATAGATGCAACAGACAGGAGTGAATCATTAGTTATTATTTATACTTCAGTAGGATTTCCCAGGGCTGCCTTCTTTCCCCTGAACAAACTTCATAGGTGCACTGCAAATTGCATTTCTTGAACTAAAACCTCAGCTGAGGGAGACTCTCTAACACATGCCTGTCTATAAGTAGGTGATGATAAGCGAGAAACCAACCACACTTCCAGCAGCACCTGTAAATCTAATAGGACTGTGAAGTCCATAAGAGCATCTTACCAGATTGAACTAATAAAATCTGCTGAGGGGGTCAGTAGACTTTGGAGGGTAGCAGTCATACAAAAAAATTGAGTGGGCAGGCATATTTCAGCCAATTGGTTATACCTTCATACACAGCCACCTCAGCCTGCACGTGAAACTTCCCCCCAAAGGCTCTAAACTCAAAACAAAGTAAAACCAAGAACCTGAGCTTCCTTTACAAGATAAGCCTCATTGCTACCTGGGGCTGCATTCAGCACCGGTGAGAAGGAAATTTGTTAATGAGAAAGCTGGGGAAAAATGATGAGAGAAAAATCATACAACTGTGTAAGACAAGGGAGTTGTAAATAGAGCTGTGGATAAGAGAACTTACAAGAGCACAAGGATGAACAGCAAGAGAAAGAGATAGTACTAATAAAAAAAGTTGATTAAAAAATAGCCATCTAGCTATACAGTCAGTGAAAGGACTATGACAAATCTGTCCAAAGAACTTGATGTGGAATCTCTATAATAATTCAGGCCAACAAAATAAAGTAATCACAAGTACTGATGTTGGTTTTACATGGACACAGACCCTGGGCAATCATACACATGGAGACTAAATAATATACAGAGGACACACACAAGAGCTGGAATAAGAAATACAACACTGTACTGAAGTAGCATAAAAAGCTATAGGAGCATACACAAAGTGATTTACCTCACAAATCCCCTTGTTATGGAACAACTACTGCCAAGCTGCTGCTGAGGTCTCATGGAAGGTCGGAGGGGGAACACTGAGAGCCGCAATGTTATCAGAAAGATAAACAGTACTTGCAAGTATGGCGTCACAGGGGACTAACTTCCCAAATACAGATTGCAGAACAAATGCCATTACTAATGGGAGTGTCCAAATACTCCCAGATGTGATAGTTGACAGTTTGCTTCAAATACTTGAGGAACCACTATTTTAAAACAACTTATAATGAGTTGATTCTCTTTTACTTAAATTAAAGGAAGCATGACCAAGTGAATAAATAAGTTTTATGTTTAAAATATAGCAGGCTTTGAAAATCTACTTAATTATCTACTGAAGTCAAGTAGACTCAAAATCGCAGAGATATCGCTATGAAGAAACTCTGGAATATCCTACTATAACTTTTCTCCTTGATAGAGCATGGTTCTGGGAAAAGGCCACTTTAGTCAAAAACGTGTTATGGAACATTCACGTGTCCACACCACTGGCCCTGTGCTGCCAATATCTCAATAGCTCACAGAGCGTGCTGTGGCTGTCCCATCCACAAAAGACCACAAGGTATTGAAAGGCATATGAGACATCTAGCGGCAACTAAGCAGCCAAGGCTGGTCAGTTCACAGTCCAAATTGTGACATACTTGGTCAGGTAGTATGGTCACATGGACTCAAGTTTTCCACTGAGCTTTTGAGTGCAGGCATACATCTAAATAAATTGGCTTACTACAAAGTAACGTTGGCTTCAAGTTTTAAGGTTAATCTTACTATCAGAAATGGTCAACACATATCCTTTAGGTCAAAAATGAAAAAAATATATCTGGAATTTATGTCATCAGCCAAGGAAAAAAAACAAAAAACCTTGCATTAAATAGCTCCAAATCTAATGGAATGAATAATCACTTCAAAAACAGGAGATGGCCTACAGGAAAGGAAAGAGATTGATCAAAGTAAGGTACAATTTGGAGGTCAGATGGTAAGAACTACCACAAGTGAAATTGAGTTAAACTTTGCAGATGAGCAATGACAATATCCAAAAAGATTAAAAAGGCAAACCAAAAAGTTTCAGCCACAGAAATAAAAAGGGAATAAGGAAAAACATGAGGCATGTGTACAGGATGGCTCAAAACCCAAACAAATATTTCCCATGAAATTCCAAAAAAAGATTCATAATGTAGCTGACAAAGACGACATCAACAGGGAGGAGCGTACAGAAATTAAAAGTAGTAAAAGTGGATGCTGTTGGTTTCAATAATCTACACAGCTTCAGCACACATTTGGAAAGAAGAGAGAACTCAATTTACCAATGGTAGCTCAAATTAACCTAATCTGTTTAGTATGAAACTGAATTTTTCTAGAGAAAACCAGAACAGGAAACAAACCCTGTTGGACCCAAGCAAACCAAAATATGATATTGTTACGTAATTATTAGCCAAAATTTTGTAAAGATGAGAACTGGGACAGAAGTAGAAATGTGGATAAGAAACATGGTAAACGGAAGATCACGCCAGGTTGTATTAAAAGAGGAAGCGTTGGTATTCAGGGAGCATACTAATGGAGTTCCTTCTTGCAAATAGGCCTACTGAATATGTCCATTAATGATCTTTGCAAAAAACCCAGGAATATATTAATGAAATTTGTTGATGACATCACTTGGAAGACACCACCAATACAGAGAATTAAGATATCATCCAGGAAGAAAGGAATGACCCTGAGATTTCAAACTGAACATGGCTAGTATAAGCACTTGGGTACAAGTATATTTTAAAATATAGCCATAATTCTTATTATTAGTTGGAAACTGATAATGAAGATGATCTGCATAGTTTAATCTCAAGATTCACAAGCCAGAAAGCTAATATGTTAAAAGTATGCACAACAGCAGGACATATCAGAAGACAGCATTTCCATTAGGGATGAGGAAGTATTTATGCCATTATAGACAGCTGGAACATCATGTGCAATTCTGGCCATTCGTGGTCAAGAAAGATGACCCAAAAATCAGAAAAGCAGAAAGACTTAGTTCCAATGAGAGGGAATGTAGCAAAATATCTATGTTGAAGAGGTACAGATGAAAGGGGTTATTTGGTGTAGTTGCCTAGAAGACATAACTTGAAAACATAGAAAGTCTCTTTCTTGATGTGTTCTTGCATATCCCCCACAGACGTTATATTAACAATACAGTTATTTAAAGTCGTGATCTATTTAGTTACCATTTAGAAGCATTATAAGCTGGTTTCTAGAATTATAGCAGAGATCAGATCTGTCACGACAGGTGAAAAAGCATCCTATTTTCATCCTGCAGTCTATTCCAGCTGAACTGACAGTCTGGGTTCATTAGATGAATATTCTTTTACTGCATGTTGTTTATCTTTTAGCGTAATTGGTATGATATAGTCGGATTAAGACAATTAAAGAGAAATTGAATGCACTAGGATTTTGAGAAGAAGTTGTTCAATTTATTTCACTTATCTGGAGCATCAAAAAATTAACATTTTGGAAGTTTTGATTATCAGCTAATTAAACTAGAAAGGCATTAGTTAAAATAAATGATGCTGCGTTTCCTACATTAGAAAAGCTCAAATTTCAAATGATTTTAATTAAAAACAAGGCTATACAAACTATGGAATGTTTTTATTATGAACAAAATTAATTACCTAGAAAGGAAAATGGCATTGCATTATGTAAAGAGACTTAGCCCCATTATTACATTACCCCCATTAATGCTCTTGAAAACTTTTTGCTACATCCCTGCTGTAACACTGAATCTAACTCAGTTTTGTTGATCAAAAAACTTCAGCCAAAGTCGCTGATTTTATCTGCAGGAAGAAGCTGTCACTGTAATTTGTGAGAGTGCTCTGCATTCAGCTTAGCCCTTCTGTGTCCAAAGAACAAAACCCCTGAAAGTGCTTTCTTGTCATTCCCTTCCCTTGAAGCCCACAATCCGGAGTCAGATTAAATATCTTTAGCTATGCTACCCGTTTAGATTTAGTTGTTCAAATTACACACGGCTTCAGGCACACTGAAATAAGACAAATAGTCTCATGCAAAGCGACTAAAATAAAGCTCATACATTTGACACGGCAAATTCTTCACTAGCTCTGAATAAAATAATAATCAATTCAGAGACATTTTCACTGTGCAGAAATGACTGAAGCGAGGCAGAAATGAACTAGAGGAACCTACCGTGACAGTGCGATGCTATCATTTTTAGGATGGACTAAGTCTACAATTTGGCCACATCTGGTGGACAGATCTACTTTAAGAAAGGGCAAGTTTGGTACAGTTGAGTAGGCCACACACTGTTGCACATACACCTGCAGATTTGTACGGCTGATGGTTGCTGTGCAACTACAGAAGGTGTCATAGTGCTTGCGGCCAAGTAGTGGTGACTGGAAACACTCAGTAAAAACAGAATGAGAAACACTAGAACTCCACTGTCAATATGACAGGTATATGTAAAATATCTTCTCTGCTTTTATTAAATTACACATTTCATTTGCAGCTAGATTATAGTCCTAATGTCAAGCAAATACCAATATTCCTGCATTTTCAAAGATTCCTGTTTTTCCCCCCATCTTTTCAGGCAGTAGCTCGTTGAAAAGAACAATCATCAGTAAGGTCTGCAATAAGAAACCACCATTTGTGAAATCCTAGAGGGAATGGCAGAAAGTCAGCACTATAAGACAGCACAGCAATTTGAGGCACAGTATCCAGTATTTTCTAATTGTGTCTGCTGCAAATAAACATCACAACTATGCTAGCAAGCATCACAAGTGCTTACAACTGCATTAGAAAGTTATACCGCTCTCAGGCTATTTTCCAAAGTTTGCAGCATCCATAAGTTAGTGCTGTATATTTTTGTTCTAAACAGTGGGTGAAAACCAACAAACATCAACCGGTACCTCCCTGCCTTGTCTTCTCTCTTGTTGGTTGTATTTTTGCTTGTTCTCTAGCACGTAAGTAAATAATTCTGCTGTCATACGCCAGTTAAGTGAAAGGTCAGTGAATGTTGTACCACTTCTTATTTTGAAAAGACAATTTACACTAGTATTTTCATCTATGCTGAATGTGGCCCAGGTACAGAGTAGTACCTGTTTATGCTGCACATTAGTCTGTTGTGCTTAGCCCATGCAGGGTTATATCTGTTCATGCACTGACAAATATGTTCAATTTGATTGTTTTTAGATGCATCAGAGGTATGCATTACTGCTCTTGGAATATCACAGTACTATCCTGCTTTGCCTTGACCACACCAGACTTTTCCTTCCCCTATACTTTTCACATATGCTAGTGGCAGGGGAAGTTTCAGTGAAATCAGATTCTTTCCATTAGAATACCAGGATGTCAAAAATTGGCACTTCACTAGGTTAGCTTACTTGCAACATCTGATCCAGCTCCAACTTCACTGATTCCCAAACAAGCTACTGCATCTCCAGCTATAGTTGGCACAAGGAACTGTTTTTTCAACTCATCTGAACCAAACCTGAAATAATATAATGGAAAAGATAAGACATTAAAGCAAAATTTACCTTCAAAAATTTTATAGGACCCTTATTCATTTTGTTCTACCTATACAGGGACCAAACAACTTTCCTATGACTAGGTGAAATGTATCCTAGAGGCAAAAGACAGAAGAGATCCTCCAAATCTGTGATCCAGATCCTTCGATGGAAAGGCAGCCACAATCATTTAAAAGGCGGCCTTTACAAGTACTCAGGCATCTTACTCTCGGAGAAATCTGTGTAGTCTACATGTCCAAAGTCTAGTCTTTATGGCTGTGGAATAGATAGCTATCAGATCTACATAAATGTAGTCTCCAGGATTTCCCCTCAATGCTTCTCTAGCATGCAGTCAGCCAAGATAGAGGACCTCTCCTCCGCATATCTGTTGACTTTTGTACCAGATCTTTGCCAGGTTTTACTGGTGACAGAAGGCATGTGCTGAGAAGTTATAACAGGTGATGGTCACCCTCTGCAAATATCAATATTTCCAGTATTAATATATCTAACATCTGCATCCAAATCTTACAGTGAAATCAGACTGCTTCTTCCCAGTTGCTCTTCTGCTCCCCACAAAAATAAAAATTGAAACAAGCACACTACTGAAGGTTTTTTAACACAAAATAGCCATATTTTAATCCATTTAATATGGCCTATGCACATTTTATTTAGGCTATGGTTTAGATCAGAATTTTACAAGGATTAAATAATATAAAACCACAGTGTATTTCGCCAAAACATGATTTTACTAGCCAAAGCTGTCACCTGATCAAAAAGAAGTGTCAGGTATATTTGATAAAACTCCTGGTCTTTTATCCAGGATGCATTTTTTTTTTGTTTAATATGATCAAGTACAGCCAGCTGTACATTTATCAGAGAAAAAAAACATTAAAATACAGATTATGAGAGGAGCTAGCAGCATTGCCTATTAAGGCTGCTTGGTAATGCTTTCTGATGCTTTAAACTTTGCCAACCTTTAGTTATTTTAACATAGGATTTCCATGACAAGAACTTGCCTCAAGATAATGTTTTTAGCTTGATAATTCTGTTTGTTTGTATTAAGTTCCAGAAAACAGTTCAGTTGTTTCCAAAAACGAGGCTGGGAAAATGTTACTTTCCGATTAAAAAAAAAAGTCTAGCAAGGCTATCTCAGAAGATCACGTATCTCTATGCTTTGTGGTGGAAAGGACACAGTCAGCAAATGGCTCGCTATTGTGTTAGAAATATGTTGTTTCTGTAAAATTCTACCCATCTTTAACACATCCCAGAACCAACTTCTTTCCAGTTTAACAAGTCCAGAACTAGAAAATTCTGTTTTCCAATGAGATTATACTCTGGCCTTAGACTGACCAGATTATGTCTGCTTTCTGGGCTGGGGCCATACCTAAGAGCATAGCTTTCTGTATGATTAACTGTGCAGCCTTAGCATCCCTCTAGAATACATTTGCATGCATGTGTATATATAGACAGACAGACACACACACTAGGTCAATAAATTGGAGCTCCTTGATGTTAAGTAAACCAGAAGTCCCAAGCATGACATTTTAAAGCACGTTGCATGGAAGTAGTTTATTGGTTTTTGCTCCACGCTTAATGAGTAACATTGGTGGAATGTCATGAATACTAACACAAAAATGACAATGATGTAGGATCTCGTAAATGGTGCTAAATTAGGTAAATGGAAGAAAAATTACAGTGAAATACAGATTTAAGAACTTTTCCTTGATCAACATAGATCTATTTCTGTGCTCTGCCAATTAAAAATTGAAAGCCATCTTTAGTCATCCTAAATAGATATAAAAATCTGGTTTCTGACAGGTTAGATTGCTACATTGAATGAAAATACACCTATAGCACATCATTATTCTGACTTAATTGTGCTGATAATCATCCTGTTAGAATCGCAGATCCTATTCACTTTAGTTTCTTACGCTTCTAGGAGAAAAAAAAAAAAAGCTGAGCTGCAGTGAATTAATTCAATTAGTAAGGAAGGTTCTAAGTACAGCCGACATTGTATGATACGCTACCAAGTGCAAATTGAAGTTTTGAATATAAACAGCTGCAGACAGTTCTAACTCTATTCTCAGCATTTAACTATAAAGGCAAGTAGCTTAAACCAGTGCAGCAAACAGCAAAGATGCACCACAGTCAGAATTCTACTTCTGGGTTGATTCCCTGGAAAAACATAATTGTGAACAACTTCCAGATCTGTAGGCATTTCCGTTTTGGAGAAACTCAGAAATAAAACAAGACTTCAAGTATGAGAATACATGTTCATGTAATCCCTCTGGAAAGCACCAGCTTCAGCCCAGAAGCTCTTTCAGCATGTTTGCACCCAAGTGTGAATAACCTCTGATTATCTGCTGTGCTTATTAATATAGGCACAGTGTCCCACTGCTGTAACCACGTGGCACCTGGCCAAGGCTGGCATGCGCCAGGGTCCAGAGCCGGAGGGAGTTTGCTTACAGCTGGCTGCAGCCAACTGAAGGGAGACCTGGAAAAACAGAGGACAATGAACGTGGGTGCTACAGACGTTTCAGATCTTCTGTGTCAGGCTCTCATTAGCCTCCACTAACCAAACTTTTATCTGTTTCTACTCAGTTCACGTATAACAGTCTACACTATGGCTTAGGGCAAGATCTCGCCTATCTTATGTGCACTAAGAAATTAGGCACCAAAATGACTGAGGGACAACTCAGTATTTCTGAAGAAGCATCAGAACAAGCTTCTTTTACGTTAAGCCAGTAGGCAAGCCACCCAGCTCTTTGAAAGACTTGTTCCCATTTTCACCCTATTCCCAGACAATTAAGTGGATGATTCTGCTTACTGTTCTGATTGTCAGCTGGATTTTTTTTCCTGTTACAGCACACACAAGAAAAGAGACAGTAAAATTGTAAATTTTTTGAAGGAAACATTAGTTCTCAGATATGCTACTGCTTTCACTGTTCAGCTTACCCAGCAGAGTAAGCTGGTAAAATAGAAAAGCCCTCTTTCCTCCAACCGATCGCTACTCTCCTTAGTATTTTGGTAGAAATAATAGAAAAATTCAAGCAAAGCCTACTGCCAAGATAAAAGATCTACGCTGATCTGATATCACGATGGATGTCACAATATAGGTTTGTTTACAAGCCCAGGGCAATGTATTTTATTCACTGCCTCACCTGATGGCCACTTTCTCCACATGAAAGCGAGTAAAGCATCACATCTAGAAAGCATTTGGAAGATCTCACAGAAAACTGTGTTCAAAATCAGATACATCAAAGATCAGATCACTGTTGACAGAACGTTTTGCATCTAGTTCACAAATTTAGAAGTCCTACTGCTTCACTTGAAGATGCCCCGACTGCTCCATTCTTTACTGATTCCTTCAAGTGAAGCAAATATAGTTTTCCTCATTATTTGTCTGCACAGAAGTGCATGTAAATAAAAATCTGCAGGTTTGCTTCCAAGTATGACCATGGTTGATTCCTGTACTACTAATGTTATACCAGCCATGTAACATATATAACAGTGCCTAGTCAAGATGTGAAACTGGATAATCTCTTTGAACTAGGTTAGGATCACCACAGTACACAAATATCTAAAGAAACCATCTGAGTTACGAATGCAGTTTGAACCCATGACACAGGAAGAGCAGTTAGCCCTGTTCCTGTATTGTCTCCAAGTGAGCTGCATCAGCCTAAAATTCCCTGTAACAACAAGCTTTCTCTTTTCAGTACTTTCACTTTTACATTTTACAGTGAGACACTCTACTGAATAACTAGCCAATGTAACTGGCTCCACAGTGGAGGAAAAAAGTTCACTAACATAGGTGCAAATCCAGTTACAAATTTCACCATGTTAACAACATTTTCTCTTTCACTGTCTGAGGATATCCACTTGAAAATTTATTTAGGAGAAACGTATGTGACTGAGCAGCTTCAACTACACATTTAGTTGTAACGTTCAAGTTTAAATCTGTACTTAGTTTGGTTTGTTGTCATACCCTCCAGAACTCATCCTCAGAATGTGCAGCAATTGCTTTCATGCAAAGCTGTCCCCAACTCTCCTCTAGAAGTGAAGCAGTAAATGTAATATTTTCTCTCACTGGGCTGAAGAGTTGACATCGTATCCCACACATGTTGGTATTCTTGAAGAATCTCACTGCTTTACTACAGCAGTAACATACGGCCAAAACACTGCAAGGGAACGAAATCCTACTTTCTCCTACCTATTGATTTTTTTTTTTAAACTCTAGGAATAAAAGGCTATCACGGGAGGGAGGAAATATTCTCCAAAGTTTTTTAAAAAGCTAGATTTATTCTCTGTTGAACTATAAGTAAGCTACTGTTGCAACACAAGTAATGAACTCCATACTGCCAGCAAGATTTTCGTGTATCACACAAAGAAGAAAACTTAAAAATACTTCCCACAGCTAAGAGCTCCAAACTTGCACATACCTAATAAAAGGATGGACAGATGGATATGGTGGGAATAAATCCTTAATTCCAGGCTCTGAAGTTTTATTACATCACAAATATTTTCATTCAATTGGAAAAAAACTAAAATGCCTCTATTTTATTGTTCAAAACTCCCCTACTGTAGAGATATTTTTTGCAGGTAAGTTTCTGACATCATCATCATTTGAATTTAATCCCCACCACCACCTTCCAGAATTTTTAGGCATATCCATACTCCAGAGGTGAACTGCTGGACCGAGCTGTTTGTAGCCTCCCTCTAGTTTTGCAAGGTGCTGTTTTGATGCAGAATGTGAAACTACCATAAGAAGGCGGAAAACAAGAGTGTAATTGACACAAGACAAGAAAAGAGGGAAAAGGGGAGGGAAGAGTGGGAAAAGGGGAGGGAAGAGTGGGAAAAGGGGAGGGAAGAGTGGGAAAAGGGGAGGGAAGAGTGGGAAAAGGGGAGGGAAGAGTGGGAAAAGGGGACACAAATTAGATGCAGGCGGTGCAGGAGTCTGAATGATAGCAGGTGATGATAAAGGCGAACACTGATGTAGTACAATGCAAAAAAGCACAGTGAGTAAATGTTTGGAAAGTTTATGCACATATGTAGGCAGCATGATACACAGGCTACAATATTAGGAGGAATTACACCAATATGGATCATTATTTCTGAAAAGTCAAAGTCAACAAGAAGCACCTTGTAAAAGTAGAAAACAGCAAGTAAATTGTAAAATAAAATTAGACCGATCCTAATCACTACAACTAAATGCATCCTTAGCATGATTGCATTGGGACATCTGACTCAGGAAAAAAAAGACAAGTTGCAAACAACACAGATTTGTGAATAGGGGGGTTCTGGCATTAAGATCGTTTCATCGGCTGCATCTCCAATGTTCTGTGCTTCACATCATCTGCTTTTAAAAAAAGTTGTGCATTCCAATATTAAAAAATATGCTCTCCCCTAAAAACGAACCTGTTTGAAGGACAGGGTAGAGAGCAGCTTCCTCTCTCAAGTGTTTCTGAAGAGCAACTAGACAGTAAATCTATGCAATAATGTTTCTTCCTACTCCTGAACACATGACAGTTTGGGTTTTAGGCTAAACCAAACATTTGGAGAATTACCTTGTTAGAGCAGGTGTAGTCATGCCAATTTGCACTCCAATAGCCATAGGAATACCTCCACAGCGGATATTTCCCAGTTCTTCTGCCACTGCAATGTTATATGAGAAGTCCAAGCCCATGCCGCCATATTCTGAGGAAAATATCTGTGACATCAGTGCTCTAACCTGGCATAAGCAATGAGGAAAAAATAAATAAATAATGCTACCACAAGCACTTGTGAACTGGAATTTTACTGCTAATTTTTAAATAGGTGACTATTATCAGCTTAAAATTACATCTACTATAATTCAGGTGCCCATCAGGTCACCTCTGGATATGCTAAGCAGCATCATTACTTTTACTGGAAAGAGCAAGAAAAATTGAAGGGCTACTGAAAACAGCAACATCTATAGGTGAAATTACTCTTTCTAACAGTACGGTCACATGAACAAATCACCACAAGGTAAGATGTGCTTCTCTTGCTGCGGGAGAGCCCTCCACGCTCGTGCTCTCCCACCCCAGGACACTGCACGGGAGCTAATCGCCCTGACACCGAGTACTGACATCAGCACAAAGCAAGGCCACGCGCACATAGTATCCCCATGGCAAGGTACCTTTGTAGCTTAAAATCAATGTTAGACAGAAGTAGGATACCAAATATGCATACCTCCTATCCTAGCACCTGGATGCTGTAATCATTAAAGCATTTTTCATTAGCACGTGGGCGGTGGCTGGGCGCCAGCTCCGACGATTCGACCGCCCCACATGCCATCCCGCGCGTTCAGTCGGAGAGGATATTATTCCTCACCTCCCTCCCCAACCACACAGCAGCGCCGAGGACTGATAAACCACCACATAGCAAAACACAGGAAAGCATTACATTTCTATGCTAGATGAGGTAATTTCTAGCTACAGTAAGCAGTTTATATTCCAGAGGAAACACGGTGAGAAGTCAAAGGTTACCGCTTGACATTGTTCGTTGACCGAACAGTCCTGATTACATAACGTTTCCCCCCACCCCTCCTTTTTCTAATGCCTTTGCAGATCGGCTACGAAAACGTCCAACAAACAGATGCAATCCCCACACCGCAATCACACCCCGCACGGGGCAGATGAGCACCTGCCACTTTCACAAGTGAGCATACTTGCTGACATCCAACAGCAGCTCAACTCACCCTTACACTGCCCTCCTCCGAAGTTTTCAAAAACACCACTAATTAAAAATGAAAACAACACAGCGCATGTAAACGTAGGGCTTTGTGTGCTGTTATCTGTTTCCTAAACCCACAGGAATGTTTTTGTGCAACTTTCTCAGCAGAGAGAAGGAAAACAACAAATTGAAAGGACGAAGTGTGAAGTTTAACTTTCAAATAAAGTTTCTGCGTAGGAATGGCCTGGACTGTCAGAACTACAGAACTCCTATTTTTCAAAATTTCCACCTGAAAATAAAGCATATATAGAGAGAAAATATATACACACATATATACATATATAAAATTTTATATTTAAATTCCTATTGAGAGTTTATGCAGTATAGTGAAATGACAGTAACATGAGCATTTCTTTAGCATTATCTATACTCTAATTCTCTTGTCTTTACAAAGGCCTCATCAATAAATAAATGGCCTGAGAATGGTAAGGAATGCATACACACAGAAAGGCAATGCTGCTTAAAAATCTAGCTGGTATAAGAAACTTTTTTTTTTTGCTAGTTTTGCATGAATCTATAGCAGCAGTTCAGATCTGGAAGGAGAACGTACCCAACATAAATTGCAAAACATTTAACAGACCTCAGCATCACTGCACAATAATCCCTTTCCTGCCCTGGATATAAACAGAAGGAAATCACACCTGAGAGATTCCAGCCTTAGTACCTAACCTCCATCTGTAAAGTGCTTGGCCAACACAGACTGAAGTGTGAACAAAACTGAAGAGAAGACAATAAAGAAATACTATTCCCTCCTCTAACTACATAAAAACTAGTAACAGTACAGCACAGCTAGCATGGCATAATCAGGGGTGTGCTGGAAAACTTGGTATTATAAAATTACAATTTACAAGTGAAAGCATTCAACAAACAGGCAAACATCAGAGTTATGGTTGATAACCTTAGTTTTGGCATTGCACAAATGCTTTCCACTTGAAAGTTTTGCTGTTGGTTTTTTTTTTTTTAAAGCCAATCACTTTATTGCCAAATCACAGTTATTACTATTTTTCTCTTTGCTTTTGTCTACCAGCCACTTATATTTCTGTCTTTCAATTGCTTTCACAAATCAAAACCTTAGTTCTTGATTTACCCAGAGCAATTTCACAAGGGCAGTTTACGCACACAGCTGACCCTTAGAAGGACCATTTTTTATAACTGTGCACTTACATACGTTCCTTGCTCATGCCTTAATTCATTATGTTAATTAGATAACAGACCTAATGCGGCTCTCTTCTGATATTAGCCACTAAACTATACTTTTTAAAAACAATTGCTGCAAAAGACAATGTGATGGCATTCAAGATAAATCCTACCAGGGAGAGAGGAAGAAATTAGCAAGAAGCCTCAGAGGTTGAAGAGGTGGAGAGGGAAGCCCTAATGGAGCACAGAGACGATGCATGCTGCAGCCAGCTTGCAATCAGGGATAGATAACACAGGAGAAGACCGATAGATGCACATAGGCAGGAAGGCCGAAACAAACTGCGAGAACATAAATCAGCACAAAAAAAATCTAACTTTTTATCAGTTTTGTTCCAGAAGCCAAGGAAAAAAGGGTTTCATGGAGAAACGAGAGGTAATTTGATGGACGATTATAGGGAAGGGTGCAGCCATGCCCACTGGACATAGCACTTGATCGAGACAGAAAGTCAGTCTGTTAGAACAGTTTGTGCAGCTATATCCCTAACTAACTTGGGTAACTTTATGCCATGGCTAAAGATGATTTTGTCCCATTTATGTTATGCCTATGCCTCACTCACTGCAGCTGTGATAACGCACAGTAATGCACAGCATTCTCTAACACAACTACTGAACTCAAAGCTGAGCCAAGGGAACAAGATCGTTTTTATTTCCATTTGCTTGGGTGATAAGGGTGACTGTTTTATGGAATAAATGTTTAAGGTTTATTTGGAATAAGAGAATAAGCTTCTGTTAAGAAGGCTGTATTAACCAGTCACATCAAACAACGCTTCCTGGAAGTATCTGTACAATGAAGTAACAACTAAGTGCAACAGTTCAACCTAGTTTTCATTCAGAAAAGCAAACACCATGCCTAATATAATTTTTGGTGAAAAATCCATCATGAAAGAAACCAAATAAATTTCAGATTTGACTGGATTTTTTAAAATAACAAGCTATATGTAAATATTCAAATGTAACACATTTCTAGGGTAAATATTTCATTTAACTTTAAATTGATATGCGTGGCTTCAAGAGAAACATTTAGTCACATTTCCATTTTTAATTTGCAGGAAATATTGAAAGAACAAAACACAAAGGTAAATAAATCTAATACACTAACACATGAATAACTCAAAATAAGTAGAACGAGGCAACTCTCCTGTATTCAGATTGTGCATGTCTTGCTGACAATAGCACAACTTCCAGCTGTTAAACACAGATTCATCTGATATCTTGTCCATTATTAATGGATTTCAGGTTCTTTTAGAAAGAAATTAAATGGCAAAAAGCAGAGCAGGCATACATGAATATACAAAGAAAGAAAAATTCCTTACTATGCCTTTAAAGTTTACTCCAGCCACAGAGATATGAGATGCTTATCAAGGGAATCACCATCAACACCATCATCAAAACTCGGTATCGAGTTCTGTAGAAACACAGTTAACTACACAACACTCTTTGTAAAGGAACTGAGTTACATTTCCACAGTCGGCATATTAATTTGTTTTGTTTTGTTTTTTAAGTTGCCTCTGTGGTTTTCTGCTAACCACAATCACATAATTTGAACCGAAGAAAAAGAGCTCCTTGTTTTATATAGAGCAACTTGTCTGTGACACTGCCAGTGAAACACGAGTTCAAGATAAAGCAAGTTTAATTTTTTTTTTTTTTTTAAAAGAGATGCAGATGTACTCTTCTCCTAAATCTAATGACTTAGGGTATCAAGACATTTATATATAAGCATACACAGACAGCAAACATGATGTCCAAAATGCAAATAAAAGAGGAAGACTATCTGATCCTCAGCTGCAACAAGCCAAAAAGAAACACTGCTAAGAAAATCAGTGTGGAAAACAGTCAAGGACAAAAAAGAGTCTATGTAAAGGGACTTACAAAGGCAAAGGAGAAGCTGGGGTCTTTCATAACACGACTCTATTTTTGCAAAGACCAACATATTTCTTGAGACTTGCTTAGCTACAGGCTCCCTGTTCAGATATGACTGTTCAATGAGGGGACAGGCCTGAAGTCTCCAGTTCAGATTTGGTAAGAGTTTAAGCATGTTTCTATTTGGAATTCAGCCTCTAAACTCCATCTAGTAGCTCTCAGTCGGAAGGACATCATTTGTGATGAGAAGGGTTTATACGTGAGTATAAGCAAGGAAAAACTGGGGGTCTGCACGATATTTTAAGAATGTGCGTTAGCCTGAAAAAAGGAATAGTGAGAACACAGTACAGGTGCATGGTTACTCAATCTTTAACACTTGCATAATTTATCTTGTTTGCTTACAGAGCTTCCAAAATTCACACAGAGTATATCCACCAAAGGAGATCATGCAGAATTATTTCTAGTATTGCCACATAGCTCAGGGCAAAAATATGCCCTCTTATTTCTTATGACTGTAGAAAGAAAAATAAAGCATGAATCAACTTCCATTTTGAAGACAGGTCTGAGAAAATCCTACATCTGATGCCAAGACGACAGAGCTAATTGCCAGTTTTCACCATGGTCTACAATTTTAAATCAACAGAAGTAAAATTTAAGTGTACAAACCTTACTCACCTGCCATAAATCGAGTTTAAGAATTTCAATTCCAGAAGACTACAAAGAGCCCTGACATTACATTACAGTAAGAGTCATCAGTTAGCACAGTATATAAATCATACCAAAACTCCCTTCCTGTTCCTTATGTAAATGCAATATAAAGAATTTTCTGAAGTATATTCTCCTTGATGTTCAATGGCCAGGAACCCATTCTCAAAACGCTAGAC